AGGGGGGGGAGGGACACGTCTTCCTTTTCTGGATCTGAGCTTTCCATGGTGTATTGAAGAGATCAGATGGGACTAGTAGTTTTTAAACTTCCCCTAAATGAAAAATCCCTGGGTAGAACAATTTCAAGGCTTGCCAGCCCGGGCCCGGTGGTTCTAGGCGTCTTCTCTGCCTCCCACTTGCAGGGCGGGAGCCCCAGCTTCGGGAAAGCCTGCTGGAGGAGTTCAGGGACGTTGCCCTGGGTGTGGGCATCCCTGAGAACTCCATCTTCACCTTGGCTGACAGAGGTAAATGGCACCCCCGCCCCACTTCACATTTCTGTCTCTTCCTCACCCTTCACGGCCCCCAGAGAACATCTTCCTAGCCCTTGGATTTTCTTGTAACCTTCTGAGATAAGCAGAGCGACAGTCCCCCTTCCTTCCTTACAGAGAAGGTAGCTGGGGCCCCTGGATTTGCTCCAAGTCCCACAGCGCGTACCTGGCAGAGCCTGGGCTAGAATCAATTCATTGTTCACTCTACTGCTACGAGTCTAAGTGAGGGTGTATATCCAGAATCCACAGGTACCTCTTAGGAGATAATAGAGTGTTAGGGCTCAGAGCATGGCCTCCAGGGGTAGAGCACCTAGGTTCAGACCGAGCCTCATTTTCATAGTCTGTAAAATGAGGGTAAGAATCTCTCCCAATAGCTGCTGTGAGGAGTCAGTGAGATAAAGCCATTAAATAAATAGGGCTGTGCCTGGTGCCTAGTAAGTGCTCAACAAATGTGAGCCATTGCGTTGTGTGATGGTGCTGATGCAATGCTGGGGGGAGGGGGGGATGACGCCAATGGTGATGATGTTGCAGCCACCAGCCTGTAGATTTTCTAATGAGTGACCTTCAGTAAGCCATGTGGGAGGAGCCATTCATGAAGTGGGCTAATGCACAAGAAAGTTGCCAGTGCAATGCCCACCTGGCATATAGTCAGCACTGTGAAAGAAGCAAAGGCCCCTCAGGTCTAGGATGCCTCCCAAATGTGGTCCCCGTATTCACCTCTGTCTCCTGTCCTCTGACCTAGGAGAGTGTGTCCCTGGGGAGCAGGAACCAGAGCCCACTTCAGCGCCGGTGAGTAACTCTTTCCCCTACTCTGTCCCCTCCCTGCCTGCTTGGTTTTTGCTGCCCTTGCTTGGGTCCTGCTGTGGTGGTGGTGGGGGGTCATTGAGAGGGACTGAGGGAAGGCAGTGGGGGGCATGGGCTTTGGAGTCAGTCTCACCTGGGCTCAGTCTTGGCTCTGCCTTTTAGGCCAGTTGCTGCCCCATCTGGACCTCACTTTTCTCACAGATGAAATGGAGTAGTCACCTTCCAGGAGCTAGAATTCAGTGACATATTACAAAAGGTCTTAGGATTGTGCCTAAAAACAGCAAAGTGTTTAATAATAATATTCAAGAAATGAAAGTAAAATTAATTGATCTTTCTAAAAAACAGCAAACCTGAGAGCAAGCAGCTTCTCGAACCACAGGGCAGGCAGAACACCCTGGCTGCCTTTTGATTTGGGGCTTCCTTACTCTTTGGTTTATTTCCCTGCTCTTGGCCATATCGATTAAGCTTTATTCATTCTTTTTTTCCTCTGATTACTTGAAAATTATATATCCTAACTTATTCTGCTGATGTGTGTATAAATCTATATATGTGTGTATAAATATATAATGTTTAGTATTTGGAAATGTATTCTTGAAACCTGAAAAAATACAAGGAAGCAAAATAAGACAATCTCCTTATTCCTGCATAGAATTAACAGTTAATGTATCATTTGTTTGCTTCTACATTGCTTAAGAAAAATTACCATTGGTTTTACAAAACTAGCACGTGCTCATCATAAAGAATTAAAACAATGCAGAAAAGTATTAACAAAAGGGAAGTTTTTGAAAAATTCCACCTCCCCAAAACTACCAGCCTTCACATCGTTCCAGGAAACCTTAGGGAGGACAGATGGCAGGGAGATTGGACAAACAGATGCATGGATTTAGACACACTCTTATTAAATGGGATTATATTACAGATACCACTTCTAATTTTTAAAAGCTTTAATTGTAGTTTTATCTGAATTTTTAAAAAAATGAAGTGGCCTTCTTGAGCTTCAAGTAGATATTTCTTCACCACATTAGCTTTATTTCTTAAAGAAGGCTCTAAGTAAGCTCAAGGTTATGAGAAAACATTCAAGAGGCTGGCATCACTGGGTAGACTTTCCGAGGATGCCTATTCTCTCTGTGATTTGAAAGACAAACGTTAGCACCCTCAAACTTTGTTCCATCACCCGTCCCCTTTTTCTTTACGTTGTCCAGATTACCGCTGTCGCCGTAATCCCCAGCCGATTGGTAGTAGTTCTATATTTTAGTGAATTCTACACTCACCCTTCATGAATATAACCACATCTTCTCCATTCCTGAGGCACTTCTTGCTATTACTCTCTCAATCAGTACCATTTCTTTACCTGGCAGTGTGTCTCAGGAGGGCTCGGGAGTGTTTTAATCCTTCAATTCTCCCATTTGGGAAGGTCTGCTCATGTCCTTCAGACCTGAATGACAGCAGGTATCCTATCCTTGGGGCTGTTTTCTGCTGCACTGTTCTTGAGCACTGATTATCGCTGTGGGAGCCAGAGGCCAGCCTGGTATTTCTTCTCCGTGTAAACCTTTTGTTTCTTCCGCCCAGATGCCTGGACAAAGGCTGTCCTTGAAGTCAACGTCTTGACAAAGATGTCTCAGTGTCAAGAATTCCGTATCAGGATTTCCTGGAAGACAATGTGTTTAGATTAGATTTCTTTGTACAGTTATTTCAGGGAACTGTCTTGCATGGAATGGAATTCATCTTCCATGCCCTTTGTTGGGTTTTGCTACCTTGGGAACACTTGTTGTTTGTCCTGGAGCACCTTTGTCTTCCACATCTACTAGTTTCTCTTAAATTACGTTCATTTATATTCACTGGGATTATCACCAGTCTTTCTTCTAAGAGCTCTTACCATTGGACAAATCAAGTCTTTCTTCAACTGAGAAAAGTTCTCTTCTATTATTTCTATACATTAATTGTTTCTCTTTCTAGAATTCCTATTATGTCACTTTGTTTCTTGTAATCTCTAAACTGTAACTTATTGTTTCTCCTGTGTGGTTAAATTCAACAAAGTCTTTTCCACTTCCAGTAGCTTTCTACTTCTCTTGTATTACTCATTTCTATAACTGTTGGCTCCTGTTACACTGATGCAATCTCACCTTGAATTTCATTGATGGTTTGAGTTTTCTGTTTCTTACTGCCATCCTGTGTAGTGGAGATACTTCTCCAGCTCAATCTGATTCTTCTGAGCACCTGCATTATTTAATTTGTCCCTTGATTTTTCCCTTTTCCTTCATTCTCACCAAGGAAGCCTATAGGCAGCCAGCTTGAGATGGGATCTGGCAGACAACGGAGTCCCTGATCACGGCTTTCACTTGCATCCTAAAAGGAGAAGGGGAAAGTTGAAGGTTACTATAGCTTTGCTTCTAAAGATTCCAGGTCTCACCTGTGGGCAGGAAGACTGCCTGGTGGCCTGCATCTTCCTTCTTAAATTCCCGTGGAATCCTGACTCAGGGGATTCTGTACTCAGAGACCCTGTGGACAGCTTTGGCAGCCTGCCCTACTCTGCAGTCCTCCCCCCGCCCCCCACCTCGGAGTGTTAGGGTTAATCTTAGGTCCCTTCTCCTTACTCTCTAGATGGCTTTTCCTCTGCAAGCAGCTTCCATTGTAAGCAGCCTTTCCTGCAAACCAACCACACTCATACTCTGTTGTGTACAAATGCCTTCAAGTTTCTCGAATGGGAATTACTGCCCTTCCCTGGTTTCCAACTTTGGGGCAGATCTCCTTTCCATTATTATATTCTTTTAGCACTTCAACTGGAGGTTGGATGCGAGGCATTGTTATACCTCAAGGTTCTGATTTTTCATTTCAGACCAGAAATCTGTCCTATGATGCCCATTCTGGAATTCAGGTTGATGCTTTTGGGAAAACAGCCCATTAACCAATGTAGTAGCTGTGCTTTGGTCTACATGCTGATTCCCCAAATGGTTTATGTATTCCAGGGGTACAGGTGAGCAATAGTGGCAAGGTCCCTGTAACAGCTTCTTCTGTTTTTTTCCCCCCAGAGAGCCCGGCGGGCTGTGCTGCCCCAGGAACAGGAAGGATCGGGGGCTGGGCAACCAGTAACTGATCTCAACAAGAAAGAAGGTAATGATCACTCACCTTTTCACCTTCTGCCATACTCCAGAGATGAAGGACCCGTGGCTGGCTCACTTTGGCTGCCCTCATGATCATAACTCTCTTATTTTTCTGCTAGAGTTAAGGACTAGCCCTAGAAAAGGCAAAACAAATACTCTGCCCTGTGCCAGGGGCTGTGATAGGAGAGAGGCGACAAGGCATGGTCTCAGCTCTTGCTCCGTGTGGCCTCCTAGCCTTGGTTTCCTCATCTATACAATGGGATAACAACCTGCCAAGCTGGCCATCAGGGTTCTTGTGGGAGCAAGGTGGGGAAGGGTGTGAGGATGCTTTGTGTAGCTGACAGTGTTTACAAACAACTCACTCTTCAACTCACTCTGCAAACACTGGAACTCACAGCTCCACTGTGCTGGGCACTGGAGTTACAGAGACAAACCATCCATGTCTTTTTGGAACTTCTGGTCAAGCAGGGGAGGCAGTCAGGGGAGAAAGCGATGGACCCAAGAGGGAGGGTCAGCTAAGAGGCTGGAGTAGCTTGGAAGATGGAGGGGCGAGGAGATAAAGGACTTCATGGATGAAGGGGAATTCATGCTGTGTCCAGGTAGCCGGTTAGGGTTTTATGGAGCAATGCATTCCAGGGGCAGGAAGAACGAAAGCAAAGGCACGGGGATAGGACCTCAGTGGTCAGGCTCGCTGGCATGGGTGCTGGTGAGTGTCATCAACTACTATTATTATGGAGTCTTTGGGTAGAAAAGACCAATACAGGAGATGGTGAGTCTATAGGTCACTAGGTAACAACCCATGTTCTGGAGTGGAATGAGCATTGATTTTGGAATCCAACAGATGTGATTTTGAACCTCAGCTCTGTGTGACCCTGGGCAAGTCCCTTTACCTCTCAGAGTCAATTTCCTCATCTATAAAATTAGTTGGTAATCCTTCCTCGTGTTGCAGAGACGAAAACTAATTGCGATGATGCTTGGAAGTGTCCAGCCTGGTGACAGGTGCACAGTGAGCACTCAGTAAGTGCTGCTGTTCTGCCCCTCCCCAGATTCCTGCCAACTGGGCTTCACAGAAGGTCCTTGCCTGGGGATGGTCACCAGGTATTTCTATAATGGCTCGTCCATGGCCTGTGAGACTTTCCAGTACGGTGGCTGCCTGGGCAATGGCAACAACTTTGCCTCAGAGAAGGAGTGTCTGCAGACCTGCCGAACCGTGGGTGAGCTCGGGCCCTTTGCCTCTATCACGCTGCACCTCCCAGCTGTCCTCCCGCCAAACCACCGGCCAGCTGAACCGGCAGCTAAGAGGTGTTTCCATGGTGGAATCCCAGGGCGAGCTCCCGACGGCACAGGAAGGGCCGTTTGGATGTGGGTGGTCCCGGGCAAGTTATTTCTTCTCAGGGGCCCCAGCGTCCCAGTCTAGAAGGGACTCGGGGGCCTAGATGAGCAGCGCCCCTGGTTCGGGTCTGTGCCTCAGGTTAGCCAACCGTAAGGATTGCTAACGCTCTGCCTCCCTCCCGCTCCCCAGCGGCCTGCAACCTCCCCATCGTCCGCGGCCCCTGCCGGGCCTCCGTGCAGCTCTGGGCCTTTGATGCCGTCCAGGGGAAGTGCGTCCTCTTTACCTACGGGGGCTGCCAAGGCAACGGCAACAAGTTCTACTCGGAGAAGGAATGCAAGGAGTACTGCGGGGTCCCAGGCGACGGTAGGAGGCCCTGCGGGCTGCTGGGCTGGGCCAAGGGGCTTCTGGGGTCCAGGTGGGAGAGCTCCGGTAGGTGCGGGCCTGGAGAGCTGAGGTCCGGACTCTGTACCGGGGACCAGCCCACCCGCTCTCTGGGCCTCAGCTGCCCATCTTTAACGTAGGGCCAGCCCTAGGCCTTGCCTCAGCTTGGGTGGGGTGCCTGGGGTACCAGGTACAGACAGAGGGGGTGCAGGGCAGTCTGAGGAGCCCAGCAGAACTGGGCTGAGTCTGGCGCTGCCACATTCGGGCTGGCCATGCTGGGCAGTGCCAATTTTAGCGCCCATTTCCTCTTTTGTAAAATGGGACAAAGCATCTTCTTCCCAGACTTCACGGTGCCTGGCGCAGCTAGTGCTCAGCCAGCGGCGGCTCTCACTGTAACGACGGTGACGCTGTGATGAGAGCAGGGCAGGCACGCCGCGCTCTGCTGTGCTTCATACGTACATGTTTTACGAACTGAAGGCAAGACCCTCCACCAGCAAAAAGATTACAACTCCCTTTATTGTGAGTCGCTTTACCACGGTGGTCTGGAACCGAGCCCGCAATATCTCCAAGGTGTGCCTGTAATAGCATTGATTTCGGGGACCAGCAGCCATTTACGACGACTGCGCCTTATCTCCCCACTGGGAAACGGCACCTAGAGTAAATCAGAAGAGGCAGAAAATTGGATCATTTTGTGGAATGCACTTTGGAGACATCAAGCCATTCAGCAAGCAGGAGTTTTTGGCCTCAGGCTCGGCCCCAGCTAGGCCCCAGCTGCCCTTCCTTTTCCACGAGGCACCCCCTCCCCTGGAATCTCGGGCAAGCCCCACACCTACTCTGAGCCTCTGTGTCCACAGGAGACGAGGAGCTGCTGCGCTTCTCCACCTGACCGGGCCAAGACCAGAGGACGGCAGGGAGGCCGCGGGCCAGTGTCTGACCCAGGGCCCCACACTGGGCAGGCTGGGCTGAGAGACCTGGGTTCAAATAAAAACCAAATCACAGACTCCTGAAATTCCTTGTCCTGTTTATTGTCATCATATGTGTAACGAGATGGGGGCGGGGGGAGGCAAAGCTTGGGTGGAGCATGAGTACCCAGCCTGCCCCAGAAGTGAAAACTGTATGTGTTGGAAGTATCTTCTGGACATGAAATGGGCTATGCAAATTATGAAACACAAGTCACAGTTCTGTTTACTCCATACTAGTATAAAATAGGATTGCTTTGTTTTCATAAAGCTAGAAAAGAGGAGGAAAGCTCTGGGTACTTATTTCTGGGGTTTGGCGGGTCACCGGCGACCCAGGCTCAGAATATTTGTGTCCTGTGACCCGTCCTTTGTGCATGGAACCCCCTCCAACGTTTTACTTCAGCCACAGCCACGTCTCCAGCATCAGCTGCCGGGAGCTGAAAAGCCTTGGGCTGTTTCTCCACCAGGCCCTCGAGTTCCAGTCTCCTGGGACCCCCACTCCGGCCCTTTGTCCCAGAAGGAGAATGCTCACTGACCTTCACATTATGTCCATGGTGACCAGCAGAGCCCTGGGCCAGGACCAGCAGCCCTGGGTCTGGATCGTGTCTCCTTTCAGAACTGGTAGGCCATTCAAGGTGACTCTTGGCACCAACCTGGCCCAAGAACACGGACCTAAGAGCCTCCAGTTTAGGCACATTGAATACACAAACATCGGATTTATAAATACCCCTTGTGAGCTCCATGCACCTGGAGCTCAGCTGGCTGCGGCTGTTGCCACGGGAGTGAAGCCCAGCTCGGTGTCCTGAAGGGGAAGGTTGACTGGGTAGCAGGAACCCAGGCAGGGCCTACGCCTCTTCTCCATGGGGTGACCAGGTGCTAAGGGCTGGGGGCTAATTCAGTCAAGGGTCCTTCTCACGCCATTAGCCCATGTGCTTAAGAGACCCATCGAGAAGGAAGAAGGGAGGAAATGCCACATCTCTCGTTGAGGGATGAACCCAGCACAGATTTGGGTGTAGAAAGCTTTGTAACCCTCTTTGTCAGACCATATAAAGTCCCCCTCCCGCGGGCTCCTCCAAAATCTAGAGCTTGGGGAAGGGACTGCCTGAGCGACACATCTGTGGTCATGGCCACGGCTCCCTGGGCAGAAGTGGGTGGGGCCTGGGCAGTGGGTTCAGGAGGAAGCGACGGACAGGTTCTCTAGCCTGGAACTAACAGATGCCTTCGCACCCTGTGTCCATACTTTGTTCCCGTCCACGCATGCCTCACATACCAGGGCCACCTACAGCAGCTTGAAGGTGCCACTCTGAAGGGGGGTGTTTTGAAGTGACCTGAAGAACAAATGTTTCAACCAGAGGTGCAAGCTGCAGGTACACAGGCAGCTGGTGGATGGGGTGTGTGGCTTAGGAGGCACTTTTGACAGCCCTGAACTCACCACTTAGAAACTGAGCTTCCATATACACACCTGCGTTTCCCAATCTGCTGGAAAAGGAAGTCCCGGCAGCCCTGGGCCTGCACCCTGCTCGCAGAGAGGCCCCTGGAGACAGGCCTCCCCTGGGTTCCCCGGCCCTGCCCGGTCCCGGAGGCATCCGTCTCCATGACACTTGCCCAAGCCCTCCCAGCAAAAACTTCCCTTGGACCCCAACTCCATCCCTGGGTATGGTGGGGCTGAAGCACATTGGTGGCCCAAGCGTTCAGGGTCCATGAGGCTCACCTCAGGAGGCCCATGTCATTCTCGGCAAAGTGGCTGCCCAGAGTCACATTCATTTCTGATACAAAATAGATGTGGCTGCTGAGTAAACATATCCTTTTATAAGCTTGAAAATCCAGAGGCTGGCCCTTCGGCTGTAGGACGGCACTGGCCTTGATGTTCGGCACTATGGGGAGGACTCCGTCGGTGACAGGACTCCTGACTTGTTTTAGACACAGAAACTCCTCTATACCTTCCCCCTGCTTGCCCAGGACTGCCCACAGGGTGCACTTAACAGCAGGAAACTCCCACAGGACGCTTCAGAGGGCAGGGCCGATGCCCCTGGGGGGCTGGCCCCGCTGGAGCCCACAGGTGCCGGTCCACGTGCGCTTTGCTGGAATTTGTTCAGCTGACCCAGGTAACACTCCTTAAGGGCAGCCTGCATCTGGCTGGAGACAGGGATACACCGAGGCACTGGGGTGTCTGGCATCTGCTGACCCTAACAGCAAGTCGGCAGTTTCACCTTTGCACAGGTGTTCCTGCTAGAGGAGGAGCTGTCACCCCTTCTGCCCACTCAGGCCACAGCTCGTCTTCCAGTGGCGTCTTCTGTCCCACTTGCCTTCGGTTGGACCCTATTCAAGCCAAGCATTGCTGTGCCCGTGTCTGTCATGTGAGGCTCTGGGCGAGGCTTGCAGTGGGGCAAGTCCACTGGGCTGGCCCCCGCAGTTCACTGCAGAAGGTGCTGGCAGATGCCATCAGTCATTTGGCAAAGCCACGGACACTCTTCCCCAGAACACAGACATCATACACAGCATGTAACACCACACACATCACCTGGGAGGCCAAGGCCACAGGGTCACAAGAGGCACATGAATGACCGCCGGGCACTGGGTCTGTAAGGACTCAGATGAGATCCATTCTTTCTTCCACGGGACAATGCTTCCTAAGCCGGGCCTGTAGGGACCATGGCNAGGCAAACTTGGATGTGTCCTTAGGCACTGGGTCTGTAAGGACTCAGATGAGATCCATTCTTTCTTCCACGGGACAATGCTTCCTAAGCCGGGCCTGTAGGGACCATGGCTGCCCTTGGCCATGTCCCTCCAACAGTTATCAAACATCGGCTGAGCTGGTCTGGTGTGGAGGTAAGAAAGGAGCTCAGAATGAGTTAGCAACTCCGACCTCAGGTCCCCCTCGGGATGGACTCCAGCTCTTACCGCCGGGTGCCCTGCCTCTGGTCCACCTCTACTCACCAGTAGATGCTCCTAAATGAATCACATGCCCAGCCCCAAACCCAAGAAAGACCACCACACACTGCCATCCTCCTAAAGGTCATTTTATTGTAAAACCATAAATACAACACCGACATGAAATCATTTAAGCAACTGATCCTCTCTAACCATTAAAAGGATGTCTTTTTGCCTTGGCATCAACCAACTGGGAAATAATGTTGAAGAATTCATAGGGCAGAGGGGTTCTGAATTCTGGGCTGGGGTTTTTGGCGATTTAAGGAACCAAGTGGAACCTTCCCTCTTCTCCCTGGGAATGTCCCGCTTTTGGACAAGAACAGACAGTTAAAAACAGCAACATTTAAACAGCTCAGTTTTAAATTTTATTACTTTGTAAAAATCTTTCCTTTTTCTGTTCCTTTCCTCCATTTGACACCAGTAAAAGTTCGAAACATCACGAAATTGATTTGGCTGTAAATGGAGAAAACGGTACCAAAGCAAAGCGAAACAAAAAACCCAAAGGACAAACAGAAAACCCTTAAATAGACCCTCAAGTTTGGTCTCGGGGGCTCACACATCACACAAGAACCGTCAAATCAACCCCCATGCAATGTGACTCCTTGCAGTTGTCAGACCCACCAGTTGCTGGATCCACACCAACACAGGAGACCACAAACCACGTCTTTTGTTAATTAACACAGCAAGGGTGACACTAGGTAACTTTTTTTTTTTTTTTTTAATACAGTACATGGTACGCAGGGTCCCAAGACGGCCCTGCATAAACCCCTTGTGGAGACTTGAGCCAAGCACTGGCTGTTTATAAAAATATTGTGTTGCTACAAAAGTATAAATTAATGCTACCGGTATTAAGAAATATTAAACACATAAAACTTATAAGGATTAAGAAAAATATTCATTAATACCTGTAGAAAACTCTGGCCTAAAAAAGATATTTTTTTGTGTTTGTTTTTTTGTAAATTTTTTTTTGTATTTTTTTAAGATGACTTGAGTTTCTTGCACTCGAAGAGAGAGACACAGTCAGATGTGCCCATGGTATTGCCTAGAACATCTTAACTACTGAGAAAGGGTGGGGCGCACGCACGTGGTTACTGAGTGGGGCGTGAGGGAGGGGCACCAAGGCTTTCTCAAGATTTACCTGATGTGAAAGAATCACCGATGTGAAGTTATGGGGGGAAAGAAAAAGGTAGGATCAGAAGAGAACTGAAAATAATTTATACTTTTTAAAAAATATCTCTGCTTCAGGTGGTTGTACAAAATGATTTCCTGATGCTTGGGATCTGAATGGCCCTGGACTTGTCAGGCGGTGGGTCGAGCCTTCAGCCCCGCAGGTCCCTCTGTCCGATGGCTGGCGAGTCCCAGCCCCATGCCGGTCCCGAGCTTGCTCACCGCTTGGGAACCCAGCCGCCCTGGCTGGGCGGGAGGGAGGGTCCCTGGCAGGGACTGCCTGGCGCCTGGGTTGTGGGAGGAGCCCCTTCTTCCGGCTGGTCTCAGACCCCAAGGTCTCTGCCAACCTGGATTTCAGGAGGCGCCACAGGGATCCCAGGCCCCTGAGGTTGCAGTCGAGGCTGGGCTGTGCCCCTATAAGGAACTTTGGTTTGAAGAGTCTAGGTGCCCGGCGGGAAGCGCGGGTGGGTGGGTAGGACCCTCGCGGCCCCCGATGCTGCCGCCCAACTGCAAACCCAGCAGATCCTACTCGGTACAGGAGCTGAATCTTTAAAGCGATACTGTGGTGGTGGTGCGGGCATGAATATACAATCAGGATCTCCACTCTCATCCAAGCAGGAGCAGGTGCCTTTTTGCACGGAAAGCACAGGGTCCCTTCAGGGGAAGGCAGGCCTCTACAGACTATGATCCTCAAACCCAGACGAGAGCCACAGAGAAACAACAAAATCCTCCAGAAAACCCTGAAAAGGGGAAACCCAGGAGGGAAACATAAGAGGGAAAACACTGTATCATTGGTTCACCATAACTGGCCTAGCAAACATTAGCCACAGTGAAGAGGGGGGCCGGCCCCACCCCAATTCTCCCGCTGGCCCAGGTGGATACAGGGGGCTGGGTCAGGCAGGCAGGGCCGAGACAGGAGCCCCCACCTGTCTCCAGGGGAACAGCCTGAGCCTTACTTAGCCTCTTGGTTCTGTCTAAAGCAGCAGCCTGTCTAGGAGCCCTCCTTCAGGTACATCCCAGGGACACAGGTGTTGGCCTGTTCCCGAGGTAAGGGCATAGCTATGAACTCACTCCAGCTCAAGGGGGCAGGGGGCTGCCCATCGTGCCCTGTGCCCTTCCTCTTCCCGGTCTCTGCAAGATGAAAATATCCAGGTACTGTCCCCTCCGGGCCATTTCTCACGGGACCTCCCTTCTCCATCCGCATCCCAGCTTCATTTCAAACCTTTCTTGTGAACCTTGGAGCCCAGTCCAAGTCCAGGTCCAGGAGGAGGCAAGGTGGCCTCTCACAAGCACAGGGGACTCCTAAGGACAGAAGCTCGGCATCACGGTGGAAGACATGCCTTGCGGAGTTCTTCTCGGGTGTTTCTTCAAAGTGCAGGAAAAGCAGCCAACCGAAGGAGAGAGCTCCTGGCAGCCTACGGACCCGGTGTGAAGAATTGTCCTTTCCAGAATCCTGGAGACCCATAGCTGCTCAGTGGGTCATCATATCCTTTCCCCAGCCAAGAGCCACTATGAATCCCAAGCATGAGGCCATCAGGTGGGCTGGATGCAGATGCAGTGGGCGGCCCCTCCCTTTTCTGTTTCTTGGTTTCTAACTACCATCCGGAGGGGGGCCTGGCTGGTTGACCAAGGCACAGGGAAGAGAGAATAGTGGTGGGACAGGAGCATCCACTTGCGAGGACTGGGATGGTTCCCCTGCTCTTGGTGGAGCCAAGCCCCCCCGCCCCAGCAACTCTAAATCTGTGGGACCACCCACGAGGCAAGGTCCTTGGCTTGGGCTTTGGTGGTGAAGCCAACTGACCTCAGATGAGAGGCCAACCCCCTGCAGAGTCTCCTCTTGGGTCCGTATATGCCAAAACAAAGACCAGTTCTGTCCTGGGAATCACATGGCTTGAGACAAGTTGTGTCCGGGTCAGCAGGTCAACACCTTGAGCTGCCGAGAACACGACAGAAATGGCTCCTGGTCTGCCAGCTGCCGAGGGCCTGTGCGGGGAAGTCCTATAGCTGTCACAGGAGTAGGAAGCAGGAGACAAAGCCCTTCCATAGGTCAAGGCCAGGTCAAGTGCCTGGAGATGAAGTGGAAGAGCCTACCTCAGTCCTTTGGCTGAACTGTAATTTGAACTAGGTGGATATTGCTGTGAATCACGGGGCCTGCGGCTGGAATTGTGGGATCTTTGGGTTGTTAAGAGGTTGGTTGCAGTAGGACCTGCACTATGGGAATTGTCTGCGTGAGAAAGCAGACTGAGGGGGCACCTGGTACAGTCTTTCCTGTTGGCAACACCACTTTCTGGGGAACCAGAGGTTGCAAGAGAGAAATGGCTACCTGCCACCTTGTCACCACACGTGGCTAGGCAGCCCCGGGAGATAGTTTTCAGGGTGCCCAGCGGCATTCACATCAAGCCTGTCCTAAGGACTAAACTAAGGAACCAAGGTGGGACTGAAGAACGGAACAGGAGACTTACTCGAGTTTCATTACGGAGGGCAGGCATCCGTGTTCCAGAGAGGCTCTAAATGCACATCTGGACTTGGTCTCTGATGGCTTTACAAGAAAATGAAATGCCTATTTTCTAACTAACTGGCCCCCAAAATGGGGCAACACCAGCACAGCTCTGCTTCGAGTAGAGGGAGGATGGGCTCCCAGGCTGTTTCCACCGACCACACAAAGTGCGCACCTCTGACCCTCCCAGCGTGGTTAGAGGGCCAGTGTGGACCCTTCCCCAGCAGCAAAGCAAAGCTGGAAGAAGCTTCACCTGCAGGCACCTGTCACGCCTCAGCAACCCTGCAGCCACCTTCTGGAGCACCCCCAGAGGTCCAATCAAATGAAGTCTGCTCAGACACTCCAGCAAGTGGCATTAGGTGACTGTCCAGTGTGAACAGAGGATCTTCTGATGGTGTGACCCCCAGCGGGAACATTGTGGAGGAAACACCCGGAACTTATTTGGGAGAGGAAATGGCAGGGTGGTTGCTGAGACCTTGGCTTCTAGGAGAGAAGGTGGCAATGGCCCGCTTGAATGCATTCAGTACATCCAAGACTCGGAGGGTTCGTTTTTGTGAGGCAAAGTGAGCAGGCTGGGCCCCCAGGAACAGTGTTTTATACCAACTTCACTTCCCCGCCTGCCTGGGACCCGGGGAGAGGCCTGTTTACAGTGCTTTCTGTAGTCGAGGTATCTCGCAGTTGAGTAATGCTTTATTACTAGGCGGGGGTGCAGTGGACTTAGTCAACCCCCAGACGGCAGAATGTGCCTTTGTGAACTGCCCCCCACCAGCCCTTGGTGTAGCCATCTGTGCGCCACAGCCACAGGCATCGGAGGTCATGAGGCCACCAGCACTTTATTCACGGACAGGTAGGACCGGGGGGTAGATGGCTGATCCTGATGGAACCACCTCCTGCGAGGGGAAAGGGGCCACCCTCAGCGTCTGGACTGAGTGTGTAGAAACTAAACTGCTCGTGGAGAGAAAAGCCTAAAGACATCTTTCACAGCATCAAGTTACACGTGGCCTAGTGCCAGTCCACCCTCAAGACATCGATCGTTTGGCCCACAAGGCACCGTGCTCAACTATTGTCCTGGAAGGAGGGCTGAGGCTCGCGTGGGGACCCCAGGGCTGCGGCCAATGGAACCATCAGAACCCCTGGGGTCCCGGGAGGGGGAGGGTTTGAGGTGTGACGGATGTGACCATGGATCAACCGAGGAGTCCCTGCTGAGCCGGGAGTGTCAGTGATGGGCGAGTAGTGTAATGCACTCTGGGTAGATCGGTCAGACATTCGCAGTACCAGACACAGGAGCAGGAAGGTGGGTCTTCCACGTACATTCAGGAGAACTCCTAAGCCACATGCTTCCTATGGCTTCCACCAAACCCACGTCTGTGAAACCTGTGACTCCAACCCCACTCCTGCTCTCCAAACAGCACAGACAAGTTCACGGTCCTGGCTGTTCGGATACACGAACACTGGACTGTACGGGGAAGGCTATTAAAAACCTTAGGAGAGTGAACATACCACTGAGATGAGCTAGTTTACAGTGTGACTTGAGGAACAAAAAGGGCAATTAAAAAAACAACCTTCGAAACATAAGTTACAGACATTCAGTGCCTCCTAGCAGAGTCTAAATCAAATTTGAAAAAAAAAAAAAAAAAAAAAGGAAAAAACTGCTATAATGTTAGGGGGAAAAAATTAAGGAGTGGAGACAGTATCTATACTTCTCTGAAATATGTCTTTTTTTTCTCTTATATTAAAAAGCCAAAAGTCAGCTTTATACTCTTAAAGTCTCCTTTCCTGATTGGGGGAGATAGATAGGTGTGTTTCTAAGGCGGCTGCCCGGGACACCGAGTGTCTGAGGGCAGCAGCTCAATGCCCTGAAGGTGTAGAAGAACAAAGTCCAGTGCAGAAACCGTCCATCTGATGCGGTTTGGAGAATCCATAGCAGGGCAGCCGGGCGGGGCAGGGCGGGGCGCACCAGGGTCAGGAGGGCTCGGGGAGGGGCGTGACGGGAAAGGGGGGACCACGGGGTGAAGGACAGAGCGTCAAGTCACTTCAGATCTCAGCTGCCTGAACACTTTGCAACATCAGCGGTCTACCAACCTGCACACCTGAAAACGACGTCGTAAGAGCCCCTTACTGAGGAAAGGAGGTGAAGCGGCCCCTTTCCCAAGCACTCAGCTTTCCTGACATACCCAGTCTAATGCACACTCGCCCACGAGCAGGCGTGTGCATGCACCAGGGTAGTATGTGTGTGCACGTGTGTGCACGCGTGTGCGAAGCTTCTGTGGCCACGCAGATGAGCAAAGAGCCCCACACCCGCATCCACGGTACGCGTGCTTGGACACGTCCGCACAGGCGTGGGTGTGTACGCACGTGCACACACACACTGAAAAAAGCACTTAAGTTTCCAGGGGGCATTTATAATGAGGTCCACAGTGTTTAGAACTTAAATTCCTTTTCTTTGTTTGCGACAGTGTTGTGTATTTTTTTCGACCGTTCTCTCCTCTTTTGCTTCTCTTTTGTTCAGAAGTAGAGTCTTAAAGCATGTTGGATTTCAGAAACATGAGTTTGTTCATATCTTCTGGGCTGAGCAGTCGCCTCCTCTTGATTAGAAGGGCCTGTTCACACATATTTACACACCCACTCCTGGCGCCCACGGCTGGAACCGCAAGGAGCCAGAAGGCAAGCTTGGCGAGTTTCGTGTGCTTTTGGGTAACGCACGACCAGTACTGGAAGAGATCGGGGGTGGCCTGGAAGAGGGGCTCCTGCAGATAATCATACACTTCGCTCTTCCCCAGCCGATCGTCTTCCTGGGCTGTGGGGTTCTCGCCGGTGGCAGAGCGGGGCTTCTTGGCGGCGGGCTCAAAGTCAGCCTCCTCGGTCCAGGACTCCTTAACCTCGTTGATGAGCTCACACACCTTGCCAATGATTTCCTCATGCTGATAGGGAGGGACAGGCCGCAGCTTCTGCTGTGGGTCCAGGATCATGGCCACCTTGTGGGCCGGGTGCACCTTGAAGTTCTCCTTGAGGGCTTCCAGGAAGAGGTGGCACAGCTTGCTGACGGTGCCTGCGTCGTTGGCCTTGGCCGTGAACAGCTTCTCCAGCCTGACGTAGGTGGGCAGCACCAGCTGCAGGGTGGGCTGGCTCTCGTTGCTCAGCTCGATGACGGCCTGCTTCACCGGCGTCAGGATGGCCGCCAGGTTGCTGAGCAGGTGCTTGTTGAGGCTCTGGATGAGGTTCATCTTCTTGGCTCGGCTATAGAACTCGCAGATCTGCTCGTAGCGCTCGTGCACCAGCAGCAGCGAGTCTGTGACAGAGTTCCAGCAGGGCGGGGGTGAGGTCTCCTCGAGCGACCCAAAGGTCTCCTTTGCGAGGCCGGTGGAGCCTGCCAGGTCCTCGCACACGTTGAGCAGCTCGATGACCTCGTGCATGCTGCGGGCCTGCAGTGTCCGCTTGCTCAGCACGCTCTGCACCACCGAGTTCAAGGCACAGGCTGAGCAGCGGAGGCACATGCCAGCCTTGGAGAAGGCGGACGCGCTCACCCGGCAGTCCGTCACATATACTGTCCTGATCTCCGACATCACGAACTCTGACAACACGTTCTGCACCCAGTGGTGCACCAGGTCACCGCTGTCACGAATATCTGCTCCCTTCACGCCCAGCACATAGCTCTTGATGTGGTTGCCCTCGGCCTGGTAGGCAGTGAGGATGTAGCAGGAGTCAGGGCCGACGCTCTGAGAGTGACAGGTGACGCCGATGCCCAGGCAGGCGTTGCTGCCCAAGGCACATGTCACTTTCACCTTCACCTGGTTATACATGCGCGGCAGGTGCTTCAGTGCCAGCGTGTTGAAGTTGCCCAGGATCTCGGTGACCGAGAAGGCCCCGTAGCGGGCACCACTGTCCACCAGCGTCTGGGCCAGTTTCAGGAACTCCTTCCCGCTCACCACACTCAGCGCGCCCAGGTCAGCGCACATGACCCGCAGCAGCCGCTCTGCGATGTTCTGCCGCTCCTTCTCGGGGATCATGCTGTTGGATGTTAAACCACTGGTCGTGGCTGGCAGGGGACACAAGGAGAGATGTGATTAATCCCGGCATGTGAGGCTCCTTGATCTGGCAGCAGCCTAACATTCCAACGTCTAGTCTTAGGAATTATGAGCAGATTTCATCTTGCACACACATTATAAGAGTTTCATGAGAACAACATTCTATGATTGATTAGTAATGCCTGCCATGGGCATGGGAATAGAACATAGTGGTATAAGTGCAACATACTTGCTGCATGTGCCACTCACCTAGACTTCCGAAGTCAGCTAAGCTGACCTCTCCCTCAGTATAGCAATGACCTCTAGAGGAATCTCTAGCGAATAAAATACATGAGGCCACAATGTCAGGGAAGAGCAATCAATAGAAATTGTGAGTGGATTCCAGTTCTGATTGATTCTGTCACTAATTTGTGCCCTCTGATCACAAACAGATCACCTCCTCTCCCCAGGCCTCCATTTGCCGATCCCATGAGGTCTTAGGTGTGAGAGTGCTTTGGAAACTGTTATGCATGGTCTTCCGGCATCACGGGAGGCACAGGTGGTGGGGATGTGGGCAGAAGGGATCAACCAGAGCGGGGGCTGGAGGTGCACAGGGCAGACCTCCACAAGTCCCCCAGGCTCCCGCCTGGAAGAGACCTACTGTTGTTGGCACTGTTCCTCTGGGCCTGGGGTTTCCATTTCTCTTCCACAACGGCAGGTGGCGATCGGGACTGGTTGGAGGCGATGTTGTTCTCGTTGTCCGCTGTGGGCACAAAAGGGACAGTGTGTTACCCTCAAGTATAGGAGGCCTGTGGACTAACAGGCAAGACTAACAGGCAAGACTAACAGGCCTGTGGACTAACTAGAGCGTGGTGGGAACAAGAAAGAATGACCACTTTCATCTCCTCTACTCAACATGTATCAGAGGTTCTAGCCGGGCAATTAGGCACGAAGAAAAAAAAGAAGAAAAAGGAATCTAGATTGCAATGGAAGAGAACAAGTAAAATTATCTCTATTTGCAGAAAATAAAATGTGTATATAAAAAATCCTATGCAATACATACACACACAAAAAAAACTATTAGAAATAATAAATGAGTTCAGCAAGGCTGCAAGAAAAAAATATGAAAAAATCAACTGTATTTCTCTACACTAGCAAATGAACACTCCAAAAATTAAATTAACAAAGTAATTCCATTTATAATATTGTCCCAAAAAACAAAATATGTAGGAATAAATTTACAAAAGAAGTGCAAGGTTTGTAAAAGAAAACTAACAACGTTGTTGGAAGAGCTCAAAGACGACTTAAATAAAAAGACATTCCACGTCCACAAACTGGAAGACTTAATATTAAAGCTGCAACAGAAGCATGGAACAGACTGACGAATCTCAGAGGGAAGGTGGGGGTGGGGGAGTGGGTAGGGAAAGATTAACCCAAGAACTTATATGCTTATATGCATAACCCTGGACACAGACAATAGTGTGGTAAAGGCCTGGGGTGTGTGAATGTGGGGTGGAGGGGATCAAAGGCAGGGAGAAGGGGACGTCTGTAATACTTTCAACAATAAAGACAAACATAAATAAAGTGGCAATATTCCCAAAATGATCTACATTCAACATAATCTCTATCAAAATCCGTACTTGCTTTTTTACAGAAATTGATAAGCTGATCAGAAAATTCATGTGGAACTGCAAGAGACACAGAATAGCCAAAATACTCTTGAAAAAGAAGAAAGTTGGGGGGTTCACACTCCCTGATTTCAAAATAACTACAAAACTACAGTAATAAAGAGCGTGTGGTACTCGTGGTACAAGGACAGACATATGGATGGATGGAATAGAATTCAGAATCCAGACATAACCCTCACACTTATATGGTGAACTGATTTTCGACAAGGGTGCCAGGGCAATTCACTGAGGGAAAGAATAGTATTTTCAAAAAATAGTGCTAGTTGTCATGTGGACAACTGTATATCCACATGAAAAAGAATGAAATTGGAACCCCTACCTCACACCACATATAAAAATTAACTCAAAATGGAATATAGACATAAATTTAAGAGCTAAAACTATACATATCTAATAGAAAACACAAGTCTCTGTGACCTTGGGTTAGGCAATGGTTTCTTAGATATGACACCAAAAGCACACATAATGAAAGAAAAAAAATGGACTTCATCAGAATTAAAAAGGTTTGCGCTTCAAAGGACAGCATCAAGAGTAAAAAGGCAACCCCCAAAATGGGAAAAATGCTTGCAAATCACATATCTACAGAGGTGTTGTATCTAGAATATATAAAGAACACTCACAATTCAATAATAAGCCAAACGTAATGTAAAAAATGTGAAAAGGATCTGAATAGACAGTTCTCTAAGGAAGATATTCGAATGATAAGCATGTGAAAATATGTTCCACATCATTAGTCCCCAGGAATATACAAGTCAAAAGCACAATGAAATATTACTTCGTGCACTCTAAGATGGCCATAATCGAGTAAGTCATCAAGGATGCAGAGAAATCAGACCCCCCACACACTGTTGCTGGGAATGTAAAAATGATACAGCCACTTTAAACACAGAGTTCCCATGTGATCCTGCATTTCCATTCCTAGGTATGCACCCATAGAGTTAAAAGTATATGTCCACACACGCACTTGCACCTCAATGTTCACAGCAGGTTTATTCATAGTAGCCCCAAACTGGAGACAACCTAAATGTCCATCCATTCCAAACAATGATAAAAAGGGGAATTGCTGATAACAGAATATGGACGAATCTCAAAAGTATGCTAAGTGAAAGAAGTCAGACACAAAAGACTAAATATCATCTAATTCCATTTATATAAAATTTCAGTAAAAGAAAAACTATAGTGAAAGAAAGTGGACAGTGGTACCAGGGCTGGGGTGAAGGAAGGGACTGGTGGCATAGAGGCAGGAGGGAGTGTTTGGGGTTGATGGTAAATCCAGCAAACTGTGCTCTTAGAATTGAACTTTATTCCCATAAATTATATCTCAATAAAGCTGATTTTAAAATGACTGAAGAGAAACCCATTAAAAGAGTAACAGTGATTAACTCTGAGTAGTGAGATTAAGCTGGTTCTTCATTTTCCGACTTCTCTGCATTTTCCCAATTTCTTTTAATAAATAGATCTTACATTTAAAAAGGAGAAGCACAAATTTTCAAATGGAAACCAGCAGCCTTTCGTGTTGACTTTCTCCACTAGAAGACAGGGATTTGAACCCTGGGTTTGAACCCAGCTCTGCCATGGCTGTGGGTGTGACCATGAGTTAGTCATTTCTGCTCTCTGGGCCTCAGTTTCCTCTCCTCCCTCCAAAACGCTAGGGTGGGCAAGCTCCAGGGTGATTCCCTCATTCTCTGACCGTCCGCAAGACTTGGAATCAAAATTATTCAACCTAGCTTTAGATAATATCTAGTATTGATTGGAAAAAAAAAAAATTCCCTTATATTTCAGCTACTGCCATTGCATGGGGGAGGTACTCAGTAAATACTCTGCAAAAAGGCTTGATTTATAGCTTGAGCTGGACATAATGCTTACCCAGTGTGGCCATCCCTGTGCACCACAGGTACACGTACACAAACACACACACACAGTCTGTGAAGGGCTAGATGCAAAGCTGGAATAAAGGCTGTCTTCCGGGGGGGACCGGTGCAGGAAGGAGGAAGAGGGTCTGGATCCTGGCCTAACACTGTGACTGCATACCCTCAAGCAAGTGGCTTAACCATTTTGTGCCTCAATTTCCTTATCTGTCAAGTGGAGCAAATATGGACACTTAACTCAGAGGGCTGTTCAGAGGGTTAAGTGAGCTAGTATGTGTAAAACTCTTAGAATAAGTCCTGGCACCAAGAAAGAGCTCAAATTATGTTAGTAGCTATGCTCCTTTGGCCCAGCGATTCTGTTCTCTGAGCCTCAGTTTCCTCATCTGTACAATGGGGTAATGTCAGCTAGCTATGTCGGGCTTGTCATAAGATCTGAAGAAATAACCACCTGACACATACTAATCGCTCACTAAATGTTAGCTGTCTTTAGTATTATTACCGCCCAAACAGGCTCCTGACCTGTTACGAAGCAAGACAGGATTCCCTACAGCACAAAAAGGAAGTTTATTAGTGGGAATTACCCTGTGCCATTCAGCAGCCCCTTAATGAGATTGGTGTTATTCGAGGCTGATCCCCCTTATCAGCAGCGCTGTGAACTGCACAGATCATGACGTTTAATTTCTCTCTATGGAGTCAATCCTTTAATCCCGACTCAGCCTGGCTGGGATTCAGCCTGGCTTTGGGCTGGATTGCCTCCCGCATTCTCTGCCAGCACTGGACCAGAACAAAGCAGCCCAAAGCTCTTCTGGAAAACAAGTTGAGATGCTTGAGGGAGGTGGGGCCACCAAAGGTGCAGCCTTGATTTGCATTTTAATGGCCTCTGCCCAACTGCCTGAGGGATGGCCAAGTACAGGCACCCAGACTTTCCTAATTAGCCTCAGCTTCCAGAGGCTGGCAGAGGAGCAAGTGGAGGTTTGGGGTTTCAGAGGAGGCAGGAGGGAGCTAGGTTATGGGAGCCTCAGAGGTCCCGGAGCAGCCTTCCAACTGCTGTCACTATTGCTCATGAGGTCAAGTCTAAATGCCCAGAACTGGCATTCGAGGCTTCCTCTGGCGCAGGATGGTGGATGGCAAAGGTGAGTGGGAGGTGTGAGACTGGTGAAGACGAACCCTTGGTGTGAGGAGGGCAGCTGGAGACAGACAGGGGGACAGTTTCCTGCCCGAGCGCACAGGGCATGCAGGCACAGCAGAGCATGGGACTCACGTGTCCTGGCTGCCAATCCAACTCTGTCCTGATTTTAACAAATCCATTAGAAATAAACAGGCTCCTCAAAATCATGTGAATTAGTGCCTAGTGTACAGCAGATGCCCAATAAATATATGCTGAATGAATGGATGGATGGATGAACAGATGGATGAATGAAAGAGGTTACACTAACGGAACAGTACCTAGCCTAAAAGAGAGTGCCTAGTCTGTGCTAGTCAGGCCAGACCTGGAAGACTATATGAAAGATTTGAAAACCTAAAGATACAAGCAATAATAATACAAACAGTAGAAATAGCAGCAGCTACCATCACTGAATCACCATGTCTCACATCACTTCCAGTGCCCCCAGAGGATTAATTTGAGGGAGGGGTGCCAGGGACAGCTAGCTGCCTACCCCAGATTCCTGTTTCCCTTCCCTGGGCAGTGGCTCTGGGCATTTTTCCTGCCCCTGGGATTTGAGCATCTGTGACATGTGTCACTTGTCACCTAAAGTTGTAGCGAAGGAAGTGCGCCTCTTCTTCCTGCTCAGCAGTCACAGAGACCGGGCTCAGGAAGACCCAGGGGAGGGCGGAGCCCCAAAAAGGAAGGGTCCTGGGTCCTGAATCACTATGTGGAAGGCCACCAACCAGGCCACTTGCATTAGGCTGTGATGTGACTGGGAAGTAAAAGTTTGTGTTAACTCACTGAGAACTTGGCATTTATCTTACAGTAAATGGTGTCTCCCTGACTAAAACGGAATAGACCAGAAGTGGGTGCTACTGTGGCAAAATCCTAAATCGGAGGCATTGGTTTGAAGGCTGGGTGGTCTGGAGTGAGGGAGTGACACTGCAAGCTGAAAAGACGGCAAACAGCTGATAGCAAGGCCTGCAGCTCCACAGCAGTGGCTCTCAAAGTATGGTCCCTGGACTAGCAGCAAGGGCACAGCCTGGGAACCCTTCAGAAATGCAAACCCTAGGTCCCACTACCCGAGACCAGACCCAGGGAATCCAAAATTCAGGGTGAGGCATAGAAATCCGTGCTTTAACCAGCCCCCCGGTGACTGCTGTCTCTGCTCTGAGATGGGGCGTGGGCCCCGGCTGCCCTGGCTGGGGCCTCCCCACTCGCATCTCCTGCCCCTGCTCACCCTGACCTCAAGCCACACTCGATGTCCATTTTCATGTCTCTTTCCTGGTCAGCTCCTACTTGACCTTTAGGCTCAACACAGGAGCCACAACCTCCCGGAAGCCTTCTTCGGCTCCATGCCCACTCTCTGTGCTCTCCCGAGCCTGCTGTCCCCCCAAAGCACAGTCTCCCCCTCCATGTTGTAACTGCTGACCAGGCCCCCTGAGGGCCAGTCCCATGTCCTGTGACCATTTCCTGGGCAAGAGTGGCCTTCCCTGGGGGCCTCAGGCTGGCTCTGCCACCTCTGCCTTTTGCAGGTCTGGGGGGGGGCTGCCGGGTCTCTCACCTGCGTGGGACTGCATGTGCTCCAGCAGGTTGTTGTAGAACTGGAACTGGATCCCACAGGCGCCGCACGTGTAGGGTTCTGTGGGGAGAAATGAAGTCGTCGTTTTAGGGGCGGAAAGACCCTGGGCGCCTTCCTCCTGGGCTGCGGGCAGATCTGGAAACCCACACACACACTGGAGCTCTGGGCCAGCCTGATCTGCCTGCCCCTGTCACTAACTGGTGAGGGGGAAGCTGGGGGGAGGAAGGACTGATGGAGAGAGGAAGACGTGCAGATACAGAGACCCTCTGATGCGGTCGGCAGCTGTTTACTGAGTGCTTACTGTGTGCCAGGCACTGTTCTGGGCACTGGGGATGGGCTGCAGGAGGGGCCGGGAGCTCTCTCAGGCAGAGACTGCGTCTCACTGGTCCCAGAGCCCATCTGTCTGCCTGTGGAAGCACGTGGACGTCACTGTGTGCTGGACGAGCGGATGAATTATGAAGAATGAACCAAAAACCAGGCAATGGACACAGAGGAAAGGGGGGGGGAAGGGAGAAACGAGAGACTAGAGGAAGAAGTGGAGAAAGCCACAGAAAAGCAAGAAGCAGTGGGATGAGATGTGGGAAGGGAAGAGGGGAGACTGAGGGCGGGAGGGGAGGGAGGGTGAGGGGACATAGGGACGGGAACAAGTGTGCCAGGGGCCCTTAGCTTTCCTCTCTCTGCCCAATACGCGAGTCAGTGCCCAGCAGAGACGAGGGGGGAAGGAAGAAAGGAGGGGTGCAAAGTTGAGAAGGATGGCTGACAACGGGCTCGGAATTAGTGTCCTGAGGCTGCCACTGTGAGCAGGAATGGGGATGTCTGTGTTCCTGAGGCTGGGAGGCTGAGGCAGGCTGCCACCATCAGGGCTCTGCCTTGTCCCCCATCCAAACTCCTCCACCCGGCTAGGGCTGGGCCCTCCTGCTGCTCCACTGGCTGCCCTGGCTGCCTGGGAGGGTTGCCCAAGGTCAGATGCTCTGGGGAGGCCCTGAGAGCGTGAGAGTTCATTCCCTGCCCTGCCTCGCCCTCTCCAGCCCCCCAGTGGGACCATCACTTACTCTGTAGGAGAGGGAAAGTATTGGAAATCAGGGGACTTGCAGTTTCTGCAAAAGAGAAACAGTTTAGCTAGGTCTCTTCCAGTTCTGGAGCTCTGAGATGACTGTCATTCTTTCCATTCTTAATAAGTAGTGAGCCAGATGGGGCCCTCAGAGGAGGGGGAGCATCTGAGCCAAGCTCACACTCTGGAGTGAGCAAAATAAGCCAGGGCCATCCCTCTAGCACACGCTCAACTCTCAGAAAGCGAGCCCACAGAGTAAAATGAGAAATGTCCACATGCGGCTGCGTGCTGGAGGACAGGAAGCTGCTTCTAGGTCCTGGCACCAAACGCCAGAGCAGCCGCAGCAAGGGCTGTGCTTTGAGGTGTCTGCCTATGGGAGCTTCCCCACGCTTCCTGGTGTTGTCAGGTGAGCCTCAGTTGCAGGAGGCGGCAGAGTGGGGCCAGAAGGACTAGGCTGGAATCATGGCTCCACCACTTACAAGCTGGGGACCTGGGGCAACAATCCACCTCTCCTGAGCCTCAGTTTCCTCATTCAAAAAGTAAAGACAGCACTGTCCCGACCCTCCTCCTGGGGCTGTGGTAAAATGAAGACAGATAAGACACACAGAGCTCTGAACACATGCCAGGCACATAGTAAGCGCTCAATAAACGGTGGCTGCCCTTCACACCGTTGGTTCCCAATTCTGAATATCAGCTCTGGTGGAAGGAGAGGCGGGGGTGTAGTCTGGCTGGCTGAGAGCAAAGACTCGCAGGAGACCAGGGTTCCAGTCCTGGTGCTTATTCTTGTATGGCCCTGGGCAAAACTCCATCGCTTTTAGGACCACCTCTTGGAGATGCTGCTGGATTACATTTTTCAAAAGGGTTGAAGCAGCTTCAAAAACTCGATGCACCCTCTACTGTTTAAGGGATGTGTCAACATTCTCAGGGCTACCACAGCACTCAATAGCTTGGTTCACTTAAAAAAACACACACCCTCCACCACGTTTGTGACCTATGCAGGACACTGGCTGAATGTTCGCCTGTGTAGGGACATGTGTGCTATTCCCATTTTACAGGGGAGGAGAAATGAAGAGGCCAGTCCCAGTCACCAGCTCAGAGGCAGTAGAGAGGAGCTTCGAACCTTGGATGGAGACAGAAGCCGGAGCTCAGAATCCTATGCAGAAGCCTCCACATTCAAATGTGTGCTCCCAACTGTTTCATAAAGCTCCTGATTGATGGTCAAGCTGTGTCCATCATCTGTCTATACCCAAGCAGAGCCCAGGATATGCCCGGCACAAGCTGAAGCCCGATATGATGTATGAATCGTCAACTGTGCAGGAGAGTGGGTGCCTTACTTCAATACACTAGTGTCAGAATCCCTTTCCCTTCTGCCCTGGCTGGCACTGCACATCGCCCGTCTATGCCTTTCCTGTACAGAGGCTGCTGGTGACCACCCACAACCCCACCAGGCTGACCCATGTCTATCTGGGGAGAGTGGCCTTTGGCGGCTCTGTTCTAAGGCACACTGTTCTGCCAGGGTCCTGGGGCAGACAGCCACCAGGGGGCGCCAAAGCACTACCAGGAACCTCAGGCAAACCTAGGGCTGGTGGGGGCTGGAAGGGAACTATTGGATGGTTTCTAGTCCAAAGTGGAGCCAGAACTCAGGGCCTCTGACTATTAGGCCACAGCTCTCCCTACTGTAACCCCGTTGCCTCTCCTGGAAAGAAAATGTCTACACTGTTTACCCTAAAAACACAGAAATGCCTCTTTTAGGTCCAACCCTCTGAGGCCATGTGAGTAGATATTGCAGGCTATGGGGAGAGGGGAGTTCCTCTCTCCATGGGGAAGAGACAAGGAGGGGACATAGTCCCCGAGATGCCCCCAAGGCCCAAAAGATGTCCCTGGAAGGAAAGGCTCCTGCGCTTCTGCTCAGCCCTGGCTTCCTAATTCCCAGCCTCCTCCCAACACCACCATCAAGCATCATGGAGGACCCCAGCCCTCAGAGCGCCTGCTGCTGTAACCGTGGGGGGGGG